GGATTGTGACCCGGAATAAGAAAACAGCTGCAAAAGTGACTGCAGAGCTCAATCTCAGTCCTGTAGTGACTAACATTGAGCTCTGCAGTGACTTTTGCAGCTGTTTTCTTATTCTGGGTCTCAGTCATGTGTGTCACAGTTATGTCCTTTTGTCTTTTTCTAGCAATTGACCGTATCGATCACACGTATGCTTATCAGACGACATTTTCCATTTTCCACTCCTGGAAACTGTATATGCCATCATAGCCTTTGACACTATACTTCTCAAAATGGCAAAAAAAAGGGAACTTCAGTCACAGAGGCACAAGCTAAATGGGGGCCGACAATTTGCCCACTTTGAAGCTCAGTAAGCTCTGACATGACTCCATATTACTAGCAGTGCACACAATGAATGACGAAAAGAAGGCTTTCCCACCCGTTAGCTAGGTGTCTCATCACCCAGTGGAAGCAAAAGAGTGTTGCATCATTTCTACTTTCAATGCAAAACATGTCATCACCTCCACACCTGTAAATCATGTAGAGTTTCCATTTTTTTTGGCCAACCCCTATATATACAGGAATGTAGATAGTAAATATTGATTTGAAGTTGTTCATTTTTTTGCAAAAAAAAAAACAACCCAAAACAAAGAGACTCTGTCAACATGTAAAAAAATGGTATCTCTCATGCAGTCTGTTTTTTTTTATTTTGTACCTGAGAACCATGATTAGGTTTTTCACACTATTTTGTTTATCATTGCCTTTGCCATTTGAAAACATCTGACTTGTTTTTATATCAGAGCAAAAGGTCAAATACTGGCAGATGTCTTACTTTGCAGAATTAAAGGGCATTGTTTCCTTTGTATTTAATAAATGGCATTACTGTCTGCAGCCTACACTTTCTAAGTCAGAGATTGTGGTTGGTAAATATAGCACACATTTATTTTAAACATTTAACATTTTTGTACTATTACAGTGAATAACTTCCCAGATTTAGAATCAATTTATGAGTGATTTAGAATCAATTTTTGAGTGATTTAGAATCAATTATATAAAATTATTTCATGCAACTTCTGCTATATTCAGATAATAAATCTTAAACATGAAATGAGTAATTACATTTATAATGAACAGAAATAGCTGCAACTTTAGCTTTTTAAAAAGAACCTATCCCCATTATTTTCTTGTCTTAGTAAAATAATGTACTTACTACTTTATGTCTTGCCAGTAGCTGTAATGGAAAGAATAAAAAGCAGTGTGCTCAGTGGTGGGTACTGCCATGTTTGTGATGACAGCAGTCAGGGATTCTTCTATCAAGCACAGTGCTTGGGGTTCAGGATGATGCTGGCAAAAGCACAGTAACACTTAATAATTATTGTGTGTACTCTTGTACTTGCCCTCCTGAGGATTTACCCCCCCCCCCCTTCCTGACCAGGCCTTTTTTTGCGTTACGGCCAGGGGCAGACTGACCATTTGGAAACTCGGGCACTGCCTGAGGGCCCCGGGTCAGTGGGGGGCCCCATGAGATGCCCCTGGTACCTTTTTCATGGGCTTTTTTGAGTTTGGGCAAGTACACAGGGGCCCCATGATCCCCTATTGTCCAGGGGCCCCATGAGTTGTCAGTCCGCCCCTGGTTACGGAGCTGCTCTACTTTAAGTTGAAATTGCTGCACTCTAATGAAATTTACGTCCTTTTTTTCCCAACAAATTGAGCTTTCTTTCGGTGGTATTTGATCACCTGTGTGTTTTTTATTTTTTGCACTATGAAAAAAAAGACCAACAATTTTGAGAAAACCAATATTTTTGACTTTTTGCCATTAAACATGTTCAGTAAAAAAATGTTAAAAATCAAATTTCGTCATAAATGTAGGCCAAAATGTATTCTGCTATGTCTTTGCTAAAACAAAATCCCAATACGTGTAAATTAATTGGTTTACATGTAAGTTATAGTGTTTACAAATGGCGGTGTAGATACTGGAATTTTTTTTTTTACTAGTTATGGGAGCAATCATTGACTTATAGCAGGACTGTGGCAGACACTCTGACACTGGGGTGTCACTGACATCCCTAGTGACACCAATACAGTGATCAGGGCTAAAAAAAGCACTGACACTGTACTAATGGCACTGGGAAGGAAGACGTTCACATGAGGGGTTATCAAAGGGTTAACTGTGTGCAGGGAGTGTTTTATTAGGGGGCTGTGTCAGTGTGCTTCACTGTAAGGTCACTGCTTTGAATGGCTGTGCTGTGCACAGCCATCCAAATCTTTGTGCCTGAGCTGACAGGGAGGAGAACTGTTAGTAAACAAAACAGTCCTCCTCCCCATCAGAGATGCTCTGTAATCACCGGGTGCCGGCAGGTAATCACCGGCCGGGACCTGGTGATTGACAGCCACGACTGCAAATGCAAAATCACGTGTAAAAATCACCCGTAAATGCAAAATCACGTATATACATGATTTTGCGTACCTCTGCCACCCTGTAGCAGTATATCTGCTATAGGGCGGCGGGAAAGCAGTTAATGATCCCAGGTACTGAGTGCATGTTCCCACTCACAAGTTCTGAATTTCAGAATTTATAATCTGAACTGAAACTGTGCATGGAATTTACACAGAAAGCTGTGATAATAAGGGGGACTGAGCAAGGGAAGCTGCAATAACCTGACACTATTATCTAGTGTCAATTTCAACATATTAGAAACTATGGCTGTGCCTTGAAAAATATCCCATTTTTGAACAAGTAAAGCATACATTTTAAGTGTGATTTTTTTTTTACTCCTTCACTTTCTCCACAATCTAAAAGTCAAAGGTGGTGACAGAGTCTCTTACACCACTTGAGCGACAGCAGGTTTTTACCCCCTTCATGAGCAGTCCATTTATTGCTATTCCGCACTGCGTTACTTTGACTGGCAATTGTGCGGTCATGCAACACTGTACCCAAATACATTTTATATAATTTGTTTTCACACAAATAGAGCTTTATTTTGCCTTCTTTTTGTATTTGATCATCACTGGCTTTTTCATTTTTTATTATATAAAAAAAAAAAAAAAACCTGAACATTTTGAAAAAAAAAAACCAATATTTTTTACGTTCTGCTATGAAACATATCCAATAAACATTTTAAAAATCTAAGTTCTTCAAAAATGAAGGCCAAAATGTATTCTGCTATATGTCATTGGTGAAAAAAATTCCCAATATGTGTATATTGATGAGAGAGAGAGAGAGAGAGAGAGAGAGAGAGAGAGAGAGATATATTTATTAAGCAATGTGCCGGGTTTTACTCCCTGATTTGCATGGAGAAAAAAAAGGCACATCACTGCTGTCTTTAGAGAGCCCTATGTTGTTTACCAACACAGGGCTCTCTCTTCTGTCATTCCCTGAGCCAATCAGCAGGTTCAGGTCATAAATCATTGGCGGGGACCCACTGATCAGCATGTGCTGTAGTGAATGATAGCACAGCTGGGGCATGCCCCCTACCCAGAGGAGCTGGATCACATACATGTACGTGATCTGGCGCAGGGGGGCTGCTCTGTTGTAGTATATCTATGGTAGGTGGCCAGACAGTTGTTAAATCAAGTAACAACAACTCAACATAAAGAGGGGCGCATGCGTGGCCGGCTCCTGTATGGACGTGGAGTAACACCGCTCCGTCTATAAGCCAGACCCGACGCGGCACACACCGGCTCTGAGGGACAACAACCCCGCAGCACATTAGGGCAGAGGCATACAACCCTCTCTACCTATGCCACGCCGACGGAAAACCCCGGGACAGCCCGGGAAACTGACTCTTTTCTTCCCTGCAATCCAGGCAGGGATCCAAGATGGCGCCGGCTGTCGGAACGGAGCTGACAGGCAGGGAGAGGATGACAGAGCACAGCACACAGATCCCAGGCTGCAGTATCCACTCTACCCAGGGGACCCTGGTGAGTCTTCTCCTCCCCTGACACCCACATCAGGCAGCCCAGCTAAGTCCAGACCACGGCTGGACATTGACAATGCATCCATGTGCCAAACCCTCATCCATCCATCCCCTCAGCATCCCAATGATCTCCCAATAATTGAGTCGTTCCCGGTGTCTGACCAACCTATCTCGGAGATTTGCATGAAAAATATGCTCCTCTCACTAAGACAGACACTACATAGTGATTTGACATCATCGCTTGCCCAAATCACTACCGTGATTCAGAACCAAGACCACAGACTGCGCCATATTGAGACACGGATGGGGGAAATCATTACAGCCCACAATGACATGATTGATGCACACGCTGACCATACCTCAGACATCGAACAAATTAACCTAAAGCTGGCGGACCTGGAGGACCACTCAAGACGCAACAACATCAAATTTAGAGGTATTTATACAACAATACATGAAATCTCTTATACCGTCTCTCTCTGATATAGAGATCGCAATTGACCCGCGCTCACAGAATACCCAAGCCGTCTTTCCTGTCAGCATCAAACCCTAGGGATGTTCTGGCGCGGATTCACTTTTACCATATAAAGGAGAAAATAATGTCAGCAGCCAGAAACCCTCAACATAAAAAAACAAAAAATTAGCTGCATTCCCCCTAATTGTTTCTCATTCTCAACTTGAAATGCATTACCACAAAAGATCAATTATGTACATACCCGTATTTTTTGCTCTATAAGACGCACTTTTTTCCCCCCAAAAAAGGGGGGGGGGGAAATGTCATGCGTCTTATGGAGCGAATATAAAGCGGCCGGTCTGGTATTTCTGCTGCCTCCATATCAGAATATCGGGCCGGCCGCTCAGCTCTTCTCTCCTGCAGGACCTTACCTGTTCCTCGCTCCAGCTGTAGTTTTCCGCGCCAGCTTCTGTGACAGCTGGGTGCCCACTGCGCATGCGCGACAAGCGCTGCACTTTGTGAATGGTCCGGTGTCTCCTGGGATACATGACAGGTCCCAGAAGGCGCTGGGCCATTCACAAAGCGCAGTGCTTCCTGCGCATGTGCAGTGGGCACCCGGCTGTCACAGAAGCCGGCGCGGGAAGAAGAGGGAAGGACAACTCCGCAGAAGTGGGAGCGGGTACCTATCAAATTCAGGTACCCGCTCCCTCTCCCTCCCTCCCCAAAGGTCCACAGTCTCTGGTCATCCCCTGCACTGTCTGCAGTCTCTGGTAATCTGTAATATGTCCCTGGTATTTTCCCTTTGCTCTGGTCATCTGTACTACTATTATTATTATTATTATTATTATTATACAGTATTTATAAAGCGCCAATAGTTCGCTCAGCGCTGTACATTACAAAGGGGGACAGAACATGTGACAGAACAATACCAATACAATGCAAAACATGAGGGGATTGAGGGCCCTGCTCTTTCGAGCTTACAATCTAGGACTATGTCCGCAGTCTCTGGTCATTCCCTGTACTGTGTCCGCAGTCTCTGGTCATCTCCTGTACTGTGTCCGCAGTCTCTGGTCATCTCCTGTACTGTGTCCGCAGTCTCTGGTCGTCTCCTGTACTGTGTCTGCAGTCTCTGGTCCATCTCCTGTACTGTGTCCGCAGTCTCTGGTCCATCTCCTGTACTGTGTCCACAGTCTCTGGTCCATCTCCTGTACTGTGTCCGCAGTCTCTGGTCATCTCCTGTACTGTGTCCTCAGTCTCTGGTCATCCCCTGTACTGTGTGCGCAGTCTCTGGTCTGTTCCCATCCTCCCAATGGGTTTCAGAACAGCTTCACCCACTTATGCCATGACATCACCCAAGGCCACCCTGTTTTAAATTATGCATCCTAGGAAGGACTTCATCATAAGCTGGGGGCCTATCAAAACTCTGTATTTTTATAAAGACACTCCCCTGGTTTCTTAGCTCCTGTCTAAACAATCCTGCCAGTGACATCTTACCATAACTGCTCATCTTTAGCAGGTCTCCAAGAAGATGGGTCATGGATAAATGATCAGTGTGTACACAACCCAAAACAGCAAGGGTCTCACATATACAGTACCTATTAAGTTCCTTCTCATATTCTATATTACCACACAATCTGGCCATCCAACTAGAAGCAACTGGGATTGCCTCTTGTTCCATAACCTAACAACTATAAACAATATCAATTTGTTAAAATACGTACAGTTGTGCTTAAACGTTTGCATACCCTGGTGGAAATGGTGATATTTTGGCCATGACATTGAAAATATAAATGCCAAAAAAACTGTCTTTTATTTAAGGATATTAACACATAGTTGTTTGGCTCCTTTTTAAATCATAATGATATCAGAAATCACCCAAATGGCCCTGATCAAAAGTTTACATACTGTGGAATGTTTGGCCTTGGTACAGACACACAAGGTGACACACACGGGTTAAAATTGCAATTCAAGGTTAATGTCCCACATCTGTGACTTTTTAAATTGCAATTAGTGTCTGTGTATAAATAGTCAATGAGTTTGTTAGCTCTCACATGGATGAATTGAGCAGGCTAGATACTGAGCCACGTTGAGCAGAAAAGACATGCGTAACAAGGTAATGGAACTTTATAATAATGGAAAAGGGTATAAAAAGATATCCAAAGCCTTGAATATGCAAGTCAGTCACCCTGTCAGTTTAGGTGGGCGGCCATGTCTTGGTAGGTTTTCAGCTGTGCTACACATTTTCAGATGATGGATTTAACAGTGCTCCATAAGATGTTCAAAGGTTGGGATATTTTTTTATAACCTAACCCTGCTTTTAAACTTCTCCACAACTTTATCCATGACCTGTCTGGTATGCTCCTTGGCCTTCCTGATGCCGTTTGTTCACTAATGTTTGCTAACAACATTACACACAGATGGACTCTATTTACTAAGTAGGGGACTTCTGCAGGCAATTGGTTCCACTAGATTTTAGTTAGGGGTATTAAAGTAAAGGGGGCTGAACACAAATGCACACCACACTTTTCAGGAATTTATTTGTAAAAATTTTTCAAACCATTTATAATTTTCCTTCTACTTCACAATTATGAGTTATTTTGTGTTGGTCTATCACATAAAATCCCCAAAAATACATTTATATTTTTGGTTGTAACATGACAAAATGTTGAACATTTCAAAGGGTATGAATGCTTTTTTCAAGGCACTGTATGAGATGGGTATTGTTATTTGAATTGCTTTGCTAAAAAAGTATGCAATGGTTATGAGCTCAAACCTAATTTCTATCCACAGTATAATGAATCCCAGTATTGACCAATATACCCTTCCGACCCCACCTGCTCTGTACAACTGCATGCACCATTGCTTTTCTTTCATAGTAAAGCAATATTGCTTTTGGAAATAAGTGTCACAGATACGTATTTCGCTAAATGCTTATTTGGAAATTACAGATTTGGATTAACTCCTTCCTGCTGATGACTTCTTGCCCTTTAAGATGTTTTAAATGCCAAGAGGTGGAGGCGGGCTTTCTGATCATGTGATCACCATGATTGGCTATCACAGCGTTCACATGACCGGAAAGCTCCCAATCGCAAGCAGAGATCGGGAGCTTTACCTTACCCATCGGTAGCTGTGCTGGGAGTGCACAGGATGTGAGCTCTCAACACAGCTTTGTTTACATTTTGGATGCATACATGTGGCCTCTCGGCGTTAAAGCCCACTCGTCAAGAGGCCACATATATGCGTACGGCCGGGGGGAAGAGGTTAATGGATAAACATCAATTTTGAGCACAATTCAGAAAATGTGCTTTTCTCTAGATTTCTAGTTTGAAGCCTAACTCCAGGTTTTGTGTTACTTTAAATAGTTTGTGCCCAGCTGGCCCAGAGGAACTATTTGCCTCACAGGGAAATGCACCCACTGTTAGTGCTGTGCAAACTGTATGTAGCATTAGCTACACATATAATACAGCCTTGTATTCCAGCAGCAGTGGGGGGACTTCCTGTTTGCTGCTGAAACAAAATTGTGTTCATCTAAACCAGGGGTGTCAAACTACTGTTGCAAAACTACAAGTCCCATCATGCCTCTGCCTTTGAGAGCCATGCTTGTAACTGTCAATCTTGCAATGCCTCATGGGGCTTGTAGTCTTTGCCATTCTATCATCTAATCATCCTCAGGGGCCAGTAAGTCACTCTTAATTGGCAGGGGCAGCAGTTGGTGTACCTTAGCCATTATTCTAGGTTTAGTGATCATTTGAAATATTGTTGTATACATTGCTGGAACAATTATCAGAATAAAACTTGGGTAATTAGCATTGCTCTTCAAAGGATTTGCTGTTATGAGCTTCCTTCAATTTATATAGAGAAACTACATTACATTATTATTATTAATTTGATACTCTTTTGCAATTTTAGCAATGGAAACATGTAAACAGAGAACTCATTATGTAACCAGTGCTGAGTTTATGAATTGCTGAACCAACAGACTGTTAATACACAACACGTCTATCTTTTGAAGTACATTAGGCTTCAATTGCTTTCAAACTTCTAATTTAATATACAGCAAACTATAACTAGTATATGATAACTTGAAGCTGCTGTACAAATGTACAGGTAGATATACCGCTTCCCATCTGCCCTATTGCAGAAATACTGCTACAGGGTGGCACGGGTGTGCAAAATCGAGTATATATACACGTGATTTTGCATCTCTGGGTAAGGGGCACACGCGAGGCTCACCATTTGTGGCCGCAACTGTCAATCACCGGGTTCTGGCCGGTGATTGCTGTGGACCTTCGACGGGGAAGAGAACTGTGTGTAAACAAAACAGTTCTCCTCCCTGTCAGCTCCTGCATACAGCTCATGCACACTGCTTTGCATGGCTGTGCACAGCACAGCCATACAAAGCAGTGTGCTTACAGTGAAGCACAAACACAAGGCCCCATAGTAAGACACACCCAGCACACAATTAACCCTTTGATCGCCTCTCATGTTAACCCCTTCTTGCCCAGTGCCATTAGTACAATGGCAGTGCTTTTTTTTAGCACTGATCGCTTTATTGGTGTTACTGGGGATGTCAGTGACACCAAGTCAGTTCCTCCCAGTGACAGAATGCCCCCCGCAGTCCCACTATAAGTCACTGATCATTGTGCCATTACTTTAAAAAAAATGTAAATTCCAGTCTATATACCGCCAATTGTAAATGCTATAACATTCACGTAAACCAATTAATTTAGACATATTGTGATTTTTTTTTTAGCAAAGACATGTAGCAGAATACATTTTGGCCTAAAATTATGATGAAATTAGATTTTTTACATTTGTTTTATTGGACGTGTCTAATAGCAAAAAGTCAAAAATATTGTTTTTTTCTCAAATTGTCGGTCTTTTGTTTTATAGGGCAAAAAATAAAAACCGCACAGGCGATCAAATACCAGCAAAAGAAAGCTCAATTTGTGGGAAAAAAAGGACATAATTTAATTTGGGTGCAGCATTGCATGCAAGTGTCAGTAAAAGTAACGCAGCGCCGTAACGCATACAATGTCCTGGTCAGGAAGGGGGTTAAATCCTCAGGAGGGCAAGTGGTTAATAAAAATATAAAACCCTGAAAAAGTTCCCACAATGTAAATTCAGCTTCATTCTTGTTGTCCAGCAGATCTACTCCAGTCAATACAAATGACATTTTCCAATCCCTAAAGCTAAAAGTGGCCAAAGGGGCAGGGTCTCCCAGATGTCATTGATCAAATATGAACATGACCTGAATGGGCCAGGCAGGGATGAATCATGGTTGCTAGAATGCCAGCTGACACAAATTTAGTTTGGCTGTGTTTTCTAAACCTCTGAACATGCCATAACTAGGGATGATGTTTGGATTTTCCAGGACCAAGGCGAATCCTATGGGTTTTGAGATTTGTGGTCCTGAAAACTTTATGTAAAAAGTACTGCTGATGGTGCCAGGACTTAAAGGGCAAACATGAAGCAACAAATGTTTTAAAACCACGTAAACCACATGCAAATATAAAAATCTTTAAAAAGTTCATATGATACGAGAAAGTCCCTTTATGAGGAGGTGCTGTTGGAGTGAAATCCAAAGGAGACTGGATGGAATAAAACCAAACAAATGAATCCCAGTGCTAGCACACCTGTTAGATGACAATGCATTTTTTAAAAGAAAAAAAAAGGTGCAAGAGCACCGTGTACCTAAACCACCTCATGTATTATGACTCATATTCAGCACACCCCCTCTCTCTTCCTAGATGTAGAAAGTTAGGCATATACTAGTTAGGTCTATTATGCCTAATAAAATGGTTATGCTGCTGTCCAATTTCACTCTGCTGTATCTTTGATTATAGTAAATTTAGGACTAGCCTTCCTCTTTAACCTCTTCCCGTCCGGCCCATGTACATAAACGGCTGGATGGGAGCAGTGCAGGAGTGGGTGGCTGTTTATAAATGGCCTCGCATTCCTTGCCTGTGCGCGCTCCCTGGGTACCGCGATCCAGTGCCCGCTGTGTCCGGAGGACACCGATCATTGAACGGGACCTCTGTGCGAGGTCCAGATTCATGTGATCACTGATTGGCCAATACGTAATCACAGGAACAGTAGTAAACAAGATGTCACTTGCTGACATCATTGCTTACTACTTGTGAAATCTGTGACTGATTACAGAAGTCACATGGTATAAGGCTATTCACAACAGCCTTGTACCATGTGACAAGCTGTGACTAATCACAGCTTTCACAGTATTTCTCAATGGCTGCAAGAATGCAGCCAGAGAGAAGGAGAAATGATTGCTTTTATAGCCTTTATGGGTGTAAAAGCTATCAGTGTAA